GAAGGGGAGAGGGGTGTGGAAGGTGCCTGTGGTATTTGGTGGGGGAGACTCCAGATCGGCGCTGCCACCCCAGCTGTTATCGCAGGTCGGTGCGCTCTATACGCATGTGCCTCCGCGTCCTGTCCCTCTTACATAACATCCAGTGCCGCGGAGGACAGCGGAAAACGAGACCCCAACCCTCCAAGCAAATTGGATGAGGGGATCGAAGGTCAGGAAGTGCCCCCTTGGTGTTGTCCTTCGGGGACGTGGCTCCCAGTGGGGAAAAGCAGGGAAGGAGGGTTTTCTTCAAGTGGCTCCTCTCTCTGACTTGAAAGCATCCAACTAAAAAGGACTGCAGGAACTAGTCCTCTCTAATGAGAAAGCTTTTACCTGCTCTGCTGAGGGCAGCTGGGTACTTTAACCCAGGCGGCGCAGAGAAATGAAGAGGGTCCTTAATAAAGAGAGTTGGAGGAGATGAGCAATAATACCTGCCGGGTGGAGGGCAGTAGGATAGCTTTCGGGGGACCAGAGGAATCCCCTGATAATAGGTTTCACCGGAGGCCTTTAGGACACCTGTAATGGCTTAGAATTCGCACAGGAAGCAGTGTGTGCAACTGACATTGTGAAAGCCTTATTCTCTGCACAGTTACTTAGGCCTAAAATGAACATAAAAAGGCTTGTTTCCGGTACTTTCATTTAGAATGGAAAATCTGAACTGATTTTTTCTCCTTCCTTTTTTTTTTCCATTTTAAAAATAACTCAGTTTACCTCCAAATAAATATTGGTACTCTTTCCTACCCCCAAAGGCTAGACCTCGGTAATTCGCAAGAGAACTGTCGGTTTTTTTTTTTTAAGCATGCTCTGAGCTCTAGTCAAAGGCTATTGACTTTCCTCTTCAGTACAGTTTTTCTTTGTAGTGCATAATCAAGCCCAGAAATTACTTGAAATATTAATAAGATCAATTTTAATTAAATTTGCAATGATCTAGTCTCATAGAAAAGGACCATTTAACTTTATTAGAAACATTTCCTCCAGTGATATAGTAATGTTTGGTGATGTTTGTCCTTGAGCAAAGCAAATTATTTGAAATATTTGCATATATATTATATTACATAGATAAAAATAATATATACTTTACATATATTACATACATATTATAATTTAAATGTCTTGCACTTTTTCACTTTATGACTGCCAAAGCAAAATTTTAACTAAGTAGATTGTGTAATGGGTAGATTTGGTTTGATTTTTAGGATATAGGCCAAATAATTTATCGACAGAAATGCCTTCCACATGAGTAAAATTGATATCATTTTCATTATTAAGACAGAATTTCTGTGGGACACTAGGGAGTCATGATGAGAATGGTCCATTTTTATTTTAAGGTGAAAAGGATTTGCCAGCATCCACTTAATACTGGTAGTGTGCTTCAAGTGTCATAATCCTTTTTCACCACTAGGTTTGAAATATTCAGTATATTTCTTATGTGTAGAAAAATGTTATATTACAATGGTGAACCTTTTGAAAATGGTCCGTGTTTCTTGCTTTGAAAATAGGTCAGGTATAAAACAAAATTTGCTTATTGGCATAAATATTCCTGTTATGGTGACTTTATTTTATGTGGTTGGCTTTATTAAAGACGACATATATTCATATGAGGATATTTATGATTAAATTGATGTGAAATTGATTCAAGGACAATTTTAGGAATGTAAGTATATTAATGATATTACAAATTTAAAATGTAACTGATTCTTAAATGGTTAGATCCTTATGGAGGCCTTTGGAAAAATACCATTAAAGTAGATAAAATATTTCTATATTTCTATTAAACATGGAACTTAAAGGGATTTACTATGTGTATATTATTACGTAATAAAATCATGCTGTTTAACTACAATGAAAGATTAGCCAGTAGAATGTTTTGATTGATCAGGTTCCTTTTACCTGGGATGTGTTTACAAATGTTCTTGTTACTATGACAACAAAACAGAGACAACATGTATGCAGGCGTTCCTTGTGGAATAATGGTACATGTGTCTGCTTGAGCCTTTGGCACTTTATCATGATTCAGAAAACCAGGTTGAAACTTTTATGCTTCTTCAATTTAAAATGAAAAATCTTTAAGAAGTTGCCTATTTTTTTAAAAGTAGGGCTTATTTTAATAGCATTAACAAATAACAAGTACTCTATTTGTGTTGGTTTTAGATTTTTGAGTTATCAGTTATTTTTGAAGTTAACTGGAAAGCTTCAACATAGGAAAAGTAGTTTTAAAGACCTACTGAAAATGTTATTTGGCATGAGTGAAAGTGTTATCCATTAGGATGTGGAATAATTTAATACTTGATGTGGTAACTATTATAATAAGGGAAAAGTGGCTGAAATCTACTGGATGGATGATTGTCGATCAGACAGGCCCCTAATCACCTAAGTCTGTTAAAAATAAACATTGTTTTCACATTTTGATTCAGAGTCAGCATCAGCAGAACTCTCTGTTGGTGTATGCAGTAGTCCTGTAGGTGGAGAAATCGTTCACAATTTAAATGATGTACTTCCAGTTAATGGATTTACATTCTTTAATGAATTCTTTGTGAATCCATCTTTTGGCTAATACTGGTATGTAAGTATTTCAACTTTTTAAGTGATATTTAAAAAGGCCCAGAGGAAGTTTGCTAACTCAACTCAGTGGACTTCAGGTTTCAAGAACTGTCCAACCATCCAGTATGTATGGGTTGGCTATAACCACGCAGGCAGAGACTGAATTAATCTTGAGTAAAACTTTAGCGAATGTTCCAATTAAGCTCCTCAGTGTTTGAAGCTATGCATAAATACAGAGGATTGAGAGAAAATGGGAAAACTTTATGGAAATAAGAATGTATTTAAAGGAAATTGTATAAGTGATATACTTTTCTGTTGGTTCCTGATACCTGATCACAATCAAAAGTATTGCTTACTATGTGCTATTTATGGTAATGCTA